ATTATTATTATTATTATTATTATTATTTAATATTTTTATTCTTTTGTTCTACTTTGTCAAATTATTCAAATGATTCAGTTCTGGCTCAAAGTTCAAATGTCAACAAAAATATATTTTGACCTCTGATTGTTTAAGGAATTACTTTTTGATTTTTTAACTTTTTAAAATCTATTGTTTTAGTAATAATAAATTAAAGAAAACATCATCATTAAAAAAGAAAAAAAACATCATCTGAAACAAAAAATTGTAATTAGAGAAACTGAAAATTCAAATTAATTTATTATTATAAATTTCTGTTAAAGGACACCTCATACAATATATATTGCTCTATTTCTGGAAAGAATATTTTAAGCTAACCAGGTCAAATAATGGCTGTTGACAAACAAAATACTGTCTCTTGGTTCCAGATCGTAGACCGTATTTGACGCAATGAAAGTGGAATAAGTGGAATACTAGACTCGTCTTCTGGCAATCGCAGGGAAAGAGAAGATAAGATGAATGAACATCTGAAAAAATCTCCAGGGGTTAGTTTTATCTATTCTTAAAAATTAGTAGTCAACAGAGGAATGTTTAGTTAAGAAATTTCAAAATTATTTAGACCGAGAAAGCTGTCATTTTTGTTATTAACTTGAATGAGTTATTTGGACTGCTTTAAACATCGGAATTGCCCTGAGCTTTGTCCAAGAAGTCATATTTTATATTTCTATGTATTAATAGCATTTAACCCTATAAAAAGATATTTAAAAAGCCTATGGCCAGATGTGGAATGAATGTTATTTAATTCGTAGTATTCACCTCAAACATAAGATTTCAATAGTTTCTAACCAACTTGAAGCAGATGGAGTGATTGGAGATTGATTGGAGTAATTTTATAGGTACCTGTCTATCAAAATGTTAAATAATGTAAGCATTATCACATTTATAATACTATTATAAAGTAATAGTTCCCAAAAATAATGTCATAATTGATACTTGTTTATAATGAACGTGCAAATGATATAAAGATACTTGCAATTAATTTTATCAAATAATTTATTTTTTCTTCAAAAATAATATATATAAATAGAAAAGGAATTTATTGTAAGGAAATTGTATCTTGTGTTGAAATTGTATGTCTTATCCTTGCGTTAATTGGTTTTTCTTTATTTTATAATCCTTTTTTTGAAGTAATCTCTTTGAGAAACTTCGGAACTTCAACAGTTGAACTTGTTAGTATATAGATTTTATTTGCTATTTAATTTACGCGGTGACATCATTTACTGTATCTGAGGCTCGACACTCATTAGAATCAATTTTAATTTTTTGCCCTGATATATCTGAGAACTATTTTTAATTATATTTCATACTTCTGTTATATGTATGGCAAATAACTCTGTCCGAAAGACACTGAAACAGATTGAGAATGTATGCAACTATTTTATCTTCTATTAAGATCATTACATATCTACGTTCAACTTTCATAGATCAGCTATATAGCGATTTCTGAGACGCCAAAATTGGAATACATAATTTTAGTATTCACTTCGCTATATTTCAATACAGCTGGATGTAGGCCAGCTCGAGGTGTAGGCATTTAATATTATAAAATTGATAACATAAAACACAATGTGTTAAAAACCTTATAAGCTCAAATATGAGAGACGTTGAACTTGAATGATTCGACATCATTTCTTTGTATTATAACTAAATACATATAATATATAAAATTAATATTGTTTAGCTAAAATTATAAAATATAAAATATTGTTGTTATAATCTACTTATTTTTTGATATTTTTTGATATCCAATAACAATTTAATTAAACAACAGTTTATTAATAACAGGAAACAGCTGTAGTTCATTTCCTTCTTTGTTAGGTTAGGTTGGTCTAGTGAATCGTAAGCAACAAATAAACCTTTTGGTCCTCAGCAATACCAGAGGAAGTAAGAACTGTTTAAAGATTTAAAGTGGACATGGACATCATGCATGATGTCGATGCTTTTTGCAGTTTTAAAGAATGATCACAAGACGACCTGAGTCGTACTCCAACTCCAACTATTTAGGCAGTCTGCAATCATTCTTAATGATTAAGATAAGAATGTTTGTAGAATTTCAACATGAAAAGTAACCACTGGCGAGTGCTTACTTACCAGTTTACAAATTATTACCCAATGCACATTTCTAAACTCTAGTCTTAGAACTTTGCGTTTATATTTATATATTGTGATTCACTATATTGGAGTAGGTTATTCCATTTTGTTTTATTTGAATAAAAAAGTTATACGACTGATAGTCAAAATAACTGATCAAGGTTGATTTACTTTAATGCCCTTTTTTTTCAATCAATCAAAAATTTATTTAATCCAATTTTGGGAAAATATCTATCAAAAATAACATAACAATTATATTTTAATTAAAGAATTTTTGGAATATTTTTATATTAAGCATTAGAGACAATACTTTACGTTATTTATTAGCAATAGTTAATTAATTATTTTTTTTATTTTTATTCGTTCAAATATTTAAATATACTACTTTACATAATTTTTTTTAAATGTCGTGTCTATAAAAGCAAATATTTTTTATATGTTCAAATTAATTCAAATACGTAGTTCTTAAAATAAAATTAATTTTGCAAAATAAATATATTATATTCATTTACATAGAGTTTCTGCTATTTTCTAACTTTTTCTTCACTTTGTATTGTAAAACCATTTTAAAGAGGTTTTTAGAACAGTAGTGAACTACAACAACAAAAATTCATTTTATATTATTTTAATTTATTGAATTTTTAGCTGACCACACATGTATTCGAGTATGATCAGTGGTTTTGGAAATATATCTTGTATTTAATTAATCGTACATAATTTTTTGAGATTGCAAGTACCAGGAATTGAACTCGTGCCCTGTCAAATTTGAAGCTTAGAGTCAGCACACCTTAACCAACTGACATAAAGCCGTACTTGACTTTTATATTCGCATATTTTTCTGGAGTTTTGTAAATTTGATATGAAAATTTTTATTAATAAATTTACTTTAAATTTACTGAACATTATTTATCAAAGTTTTCACGTTAATTTGTCATTATTCACTTGCAATGAATAATTAATTATATTGCACTATATACTTAAATCAACTTGTGCATCCATATAAATTTGATAGTGTACAAGACAACATCGTTGTTTTTGCGAATTTCTGCATAGTTTTTGCATTTACGTGGTTGCGAAAAACAATAATGTGTTTGTGCTTTTCAACTCAACTTAAATGTGTATGTATATTATATTATATCCTGAAGTTAAAGAATCATATTAATAGATTCATATGGCAACGAGGACGATGCTAGTAGGCATAATTAAAATTGGCTTGATGTCTGAAAGTTTGTAATGGAAATTTTTCTACCAACATTCTCCACGTTGACAAATTATTTCAAATTAATTTTAATTAATTATTAACTTGTAAGAAATGAGTTTTTTAGATATTCAAATACTGTTACTTAGAATAACTTTAAAAATAGACCAATCCAATTTAAAATAAACATGAGTATCGAAGTTATTTTTGGAAAGCTCTTTTTATAAGAATTTGTGTGAAGTGGTCCCGACAGGT